TTGAAGGCGCCGTGGCCAGCGGCAGCGAGGATTGCTGCTAGATCTGCGGCTGGTCGGCCGGATCTGGGGAAGCCTCGAAATGTGTTTCCGGCACCTCGGACGGACCAGAGGAAACAGGGATATCCCACGCTGGTGGATCCAGTCCGGAGCTTGCGCTCGCAGCTGGCAATGGCGGAGGAGACGGCGCCATTAAGGCTGGTGGGTGGCTGCCGTGGTCGGAGCGGCCAGCGGCGCGCGGGGAGGGGGGCGCGGGGGAGATGGCCCGCACGATGACACGTCTCTACTTGAAGTAGTACTACCGATGGAATCGGTCTTCACACACGCAGCACGTCGACTCGATGGATTTGATGTGTCTCCTGCTACAGCTTTGCTTCTATCGCCTTGAGACTCGGGAGCAACGGCGGCCAGAATAAATCCCACAATACGCCAGCTGCTGGATTCGTCTCGATCTCGGCCTAGAGAAAAGTCAGTCTCCGAACCTGACCTGGACACGGACGATGAGCCGTCAAATCCTGTCGAACTCGGCGGATCGCACGACGCTGCGGCGGCACACACACATAACCCCAATTTCTCGTCTCAAATCTCGTATCTTCAACTTGGCTCTGTATACCACTTGTTAGATAATAACGAGATAAAACAAGACACGAGAGACACTGATTTTTACGTGGAAACCCTTGCGGGAGAAAACCACAGACGCACGAAGGCGCAATCACTATGAGGAGGAGTATTACAAGCACGAGACGACAGACCGTCTGAGGTGCAACTACATGGGGTATATATGAGGGCAATATATGAGAGTCCTTGGAGAACAAGTAAACGAGTTGTACTTGTACGCATTGTTACCAATGCAAAGGCCCACACCGTATGTACTACGTCTAGTCCAATACGGTAGCATTTGGATCACCATTTAACAGAAGAAGATTGTTTTATGTTACATCAAAAAGGGTTACAAAGGGAGTATCCCACCGCACACCTAAGGAAAGGTTTCTCTAGCTAATTAATCGGGCTCTCTAGGTCTATGAATCAGCATTGCGATCTTGGTCTTGCCGGCAGCCGTCCATTACTGGATGTCTTGATGCGGGACGTCACCTGATCAACAGTTGAGACCTTGTTGTCGAAAATACGCGCGTTCCTTTCCTTCCAAGTGTGCCACCATACGATTTGGATCAGCGAGTTCCAAGCTTTGTGGTAGGTCTTCGGGATTTGTTGTTTGCTCCGCTCCCACCATGGAAGCAACGAGGAGGTTGTGGGTGTTGGTCCGAGCGTGTTTGGCAGCCCGCAACGATGAAGCACCATGTTCCAGAGGTCAACGGCGAAGGTGCAAGCAGCTAGTAAATGAGGCGCTGTCTCCTGCTCAACACCACAAAGCTGACAAAGTGGGTTATGTGGCCAGCCTCTCTTTGCAAGGTTATCAGCAGTCAAGATCTTCCCCAGGGCGGCCATCCAAGAGAAAGTCTTGCATTTCAGGGTAGCATCTGATTGCCAAATGAGTTGCTTGCAAACCGAACACTGAGAGCCTTCAAATTGAATGGTGTATGCGGACGCGATGGAGAATTCACCATTAGCAGTCCGCCTCCAAGAAACCGTGTCTTGCTGATCACCGAGAACCACAACTTGCATCATTGCCCATAGACTTGTGAATTCGCGGATGGCTTGCAGCGAGATGGTAGTCTTAAGGTGTCTTGTCCATCGGTTATCGTCCATAGCTTGCGCCACCGAGAGCTTCTTCCTCGTGCAAAAGAGAAATAGTGCAGGGAACCGATGACAGTGAGCTAGTCCATCCATCCATGGGTCGAGCTAGAACCTGATACGTTGACCATCGCCGAGGTGGAATCTGGCTGAGGCCGCAAATAGGTTCAGCACCTTGGGGTCAGAGGGCAGCGGTAAGCCACTCCAGGCCTTGTCCGGGTCAGTCCAGTGCATCCACATCCATCGCAGCCGCAAGGCAATACTCTGTGTTGTGAGGTCTGAAATTCCTAGCCCCCCGAAGCCAGTCGGCCGGCAAACCACTTTCCAGCTAACCAGGCACTTCCCACCATTTGCGAGCTCCTTCCCTTCCCACAAGAATCCTCTGCGCAGTTCAATCTGTTTTGAACTCGGAACCGAACTACTCTTCTTTAACCCAACCTGATAGCTCTGTTTTTTAGGGACAACCGGAGTTTTTCCTTACTTTTATAGCACAACCCCCATTTCATTAGCTTCTTTTACAGCATGACTCCTTTGGATTAGTTTGTGATCGCACTAATCCCGTTTCCAAAAAAAGACTTTGTACGTGACATTAATGATATATTTAACCTTTGCTTCTTTTAAATCTTAGCCGTAGGTATCAAATTTTAATGGTAGAGATAATTTAAGTGGAACAATGGGGTGACTTGTTTGTCTCTTATTCTAATAATATAATACTAATAGATAGATAATAGATTCAGAACACAAGGTAGCAAAATCGTGCAGTGTAAGGCGTCAAATTTTCTTGGAACAAAGTTCTGTACTTCTGTGGCTACAATATTCTCTCCAGGTGAATCTCAACATGCATGACATTTCAACTTGAATTGAAATTATTATTTTTGCAAGGTACCCACAGCACCATGTCTGTACAAGCATATGAACTTATGTGGGATACAGAGAATGTGATATCATTACATACAGAAGTTGCATCTATCCTGTATCCGGGGCCATCTTCCGATTATGACCACCCATGAGAACCTTCACTCGCTGTTTCTGTGCCAAATATGGTCGTGTATGTGTAGATTCAAATGGTAAAGAATCCCTCAGTGGAAGCATATCTTCCGGTGCCTTTTTAGGTTTTCTTTGCCTGTACCTGTAAAATGAACAAAGTTACGTTTGTAGGTTTTCTTTGCCAGTTCCAGTGTATTTTAGATTTTCTTTGTCTCATTGATAGTCTAGTAGCTAGGGTATTGGAGTACTTTATCTGTTTATATGACACTAAATCTAGTCAGGATATTGCAAATAAAAGTGAGAAGAATAGCAACTTACCAGTTTGAGGTATTTCTTGTGAAGTTTCAGAGCTCCAGCGCAGGCTTTTTTCGCATCTAAATTCCCATTTACATCATTCAATATCTGAAAGGAAACAAATGCAGGAGTTGCAGATACAGAACACATGATGATATACAAACATATAATATGGGCTCAAATTTGATTTAATTTTAGGAGATGTGCTTAAAATTGGCCTTCTTTTAACTAAAAAGAAGCTTAGTCGTTGGCAACTTGCTTAAAATTGATTGGGAATTTTGAAGAGAAAGAAAAGTCAGGTTTTGGTCCAGTACCCTAATAAGATCATCCAGTCCTCTAGCTTCTTGTAACAGTTTTTCTCTCTTTTCCTTGAGCACACTTGCAACCATGAAAACTGAAATGGGAACTGGGCCATCAGTTTCCTCAGAGACATCCTTGTCCTTGTCCTTGTCCTTGTCCTTGTCCTTGTCCTTATCCCACTTGGCAAAATGGCGCACTCCTCTTAATTTTGATTTCGATACTTTTTTATGTGCACCGCTTGCTTCTTCACATGCTGCAAAGAAGATATCCGGATCGTATTCGAGAGCCCACATCATCTGTTGGTAGGTTTTAAAAATCAGATAAGAGAATCAGAAGCAACTAACAGAAACTCATTCCCATACAAATACCACTTAACGTTTGCCAATACCAAATAAATATCAGTGCTTACAATTTTGTGAGATTTTTTTTCATGCAAGCACACAAACCACCCTACTTTGCAAATAGATGGAAACGTGTTATTATCTTTCCTTTTTCCTCAAGAGGAAGCAAGCCACTAAGTTCGTCCACGTGTAACAAATAATGGAACACCTATTTGATAATTTCAGTAAAGGAGAGATATCAAATGCAACATGCATGCAAACCCTTTAGTTTAAGCACAAAATAAAAGTCGAAGAATCCAAACCAGGTTGTAGACAGTGTACTTTTCAATTGACTTAGCCAATCTGTATTATTGAAGCTCTAACTCTCTATGTCGAGAGTAATGAAAAAGAGAAAATTCTGACAAAATAATAAATGAAAGAACAAAGTTACTATTCATGGCAAAATTCTCTTTTTTGGTTTACCATCCCATTTTCAATTGGAAGTTAATTTGAAACGATGATACATCTAAAAGACTCCACAAACTAAGGGCAGCCCGGTGCACGTAGCTCCCGCTTGCGCAGGGTCCGGGGAAGGGTCCGACCACTTTGGGTCTATAGTAGGCAGCCTTTCCCTACATTTCTGCAAGAGGTTGTTTCCAGGACTCGAATCCGTGACCTCATGGTCACAAGGCAACAGCTTTACCGTTGGGTCAAGGCTCCCCTTCAAAAGACTCCACAAACTACATTTCCAAAAAAAGGGAATTGTCATGTTGATCTTTTGCCTAAGCCAACAGGATTTTGTGATCCCCCCTAAAGTAACTTTCCACCATCTATCTCACATTCTATAAAATGTACAGCATATAATAATTTAGAACAACCATCAAACAGAAAAATGAGATGTCAAAACCGATTGTCTGGTTCTAGCAATACTCATCATACTATATTGTTTAGGATAGCTTCATACCTCCCACAGGTACAAGGAGTCCCCAAATGACACCTCACGTCGAAATAGAACCATGAACATACGGAATGCAAAAAGATAGTCACCTCCACCAAGTGTTTCTGTGTCCAGAACTCAACAATATTATAAAACCATAGGTAAACCAGAGAAAAGAAGATTAGATGTTTCACAATATGATCGGTCCAGAAATTTATACCTAGGTGGTCATGTAGCTTGGGGTCCAGCACCTGAATGATAGATGCAAGGTGCTGAAGTTGGTTAGCCACCCCAACAGATTGATCTGTGCATCTGAAATTTCCTCGCTTTAAAGATCAAACATCAGATGGTTAGAATAATGACAAAGAAAAAAGAAATCAATTCTAGGTAATTTCTAGTAGAACAAATGCACAATGGTTACTTTTATAATTAGAGGAAAGATGTCATGAGAAAACATGGAGGGCAACGCATACCAATCTACGCATCAACTTCTCAAAGCACCAAAACGCATCTGCCTCATCGTTGAGTAGCACAATCATTGGTGAGCATAAATCACTCATTCCTGTGAGATATACAAGTTACATTGTAAGCTTGTCTGGATACTAAGTTTCCTGTGCAAGTCAGATGTAGCGCACCTTGACAGTAACCAACATCTTTGTCAATCCATGCATACACGGCTAGAATATCCCACAACTTTGAAAGATTTTCCTTGTTCTCGTAAAATACCATGGTGCGGTCAGTACGTAGCACGTCAAGTCCTATATTATTTTCAAAAATCAGAAGAAATTGGGTGAAAAGAGTCAAAGTAGAGAAACATAAGGGTTAAACTGTACCAATTTGATGTAATGTAAGCTTCCATTCAATAATTTGCTTGTCAGTAATACATTCTGCAGATTCGTCTACTTCAATTCCATTGTGGCTGCTAGTTGAAGCACCCTCTGAGGTGTTTTGGTTTGAAGTAGCCTCAAGTAAAACCAAAGGATCCTTGATAGGTCTTCCATCCTCAGTGATAAGTGGTGCTGTGATAACCTTACCACTACCAACATGAGAATCCATCTCTTTGCATTCTTCCTTCCATCTAGCATATTGTAGCCTGCATAAATCATCAGGTAAAACACTTCAGACCAAGTGAACACAGTGTTCTATTTACAGTTATCTACTGCTGAAAATCATAAAAATAAATTATTAGAGATATCATGGGAAACATAACTGTAATGCTTGGATATTACAATGGCCACTGCATGATTAACAGTTACAGAAAAATTGGCATGCTCCTGATGATACCCACAATTGCCTCCTTTTTCTCATTATGTAAGCATACTTTTATTGTTTTTGGAAGGCACTATCCTTTTTGGGGGATAGAGTACATTAAGTAGGCAACAATTTTTTTGGAGCAATATGGCTGATTTAGATAAGGATAAACTCCATGCTTACTGTTTGGTTAAACTATCTTCAGACATAATTCAACAACTCAAATTTGAAATAAATAGCGTGAGCGGACAGCCGTATAATGGATGTCAGATGCATGGTTAAGATGTGCACACGATGACATCACTCTTCAAGGTAGTGTGCAGTAGCAAAATTGCACACCAGATGCTCTAAGGAAGGACAGTACCTTCTTATTTGCCTGATCTCCTCCCTCTCATCAAAGGTACTCCTCGGATCAAAGCAGCCAAGTAAGAACTCCCAAACCTCCCCCCTGACAGTCGGGTGAACACCCTAAAAGAACAAAATAAACCATTTATGATCTTTAGATTGTTAACCATGCACAATCACAATGCATATAAGAAGACAACTGTCTAACAATAGCATATTTTGAAACTCAGAAAAAACTCTAAATTGAGGAATCTTACTCCTTTTTGTATCCGGCTTAGGACCGAGACAATGTCAAGACAGCCATCAGGATTAAATGCAGCTTGCCATTTCCGAACACTCAGTGTTTTGCCAGCCTGAAACAAAGGGACAATACTAAGTTGCTCAGAATAAGAAAGGACTCTACTCCATACATAAGAAACAAGAGTGGCCTTAACACCATTGCAGATCATAATAGGTATGTTCCCCAGTGCTCTCCCAAGAACTAAGATGGAAAATACGAAATTTAAAGCACATTGCAGCCTTATTTACAAGCACCACCACAAATCATCATGCTTGAAAGTAAGTAACATTGAGCTTTAAAATCAGTAGAAGCACATAAAAAAACGAGTTTTCACGGCAACTATGATTAGAAGTAACTAAACATGCACAAACTTCCTATCTCTAATTGTATTAACCCCGTGCCAACTTCCTCGCTTTCATTTAACCTGATGATAAATGCTAAATTTTACTTCTTTGTCCTATTTAGGCCTTTGTTTCGGGTTTTTTTTCCATTTTTTGTTCTGCTTTGTTAGTTTTGTATCTTTTTAGCGGGTCTGGTTGTCTTCTTTCTCTGATACAAAATGACGTGCATTTTGATGTGTGTTCAGGAAAACCTATATATGTTGCAATGTGGTGAATATTGTTTGTCATTTTGTACAAAATCAGTGATAAATTAAGAAACAAATAGTTCGACCTGTCATTTGCAACACATTCACATTCACAAAAGGAAATTACTCCAAAATTATTCTGCAAAAGCAAAAAATATTTTTATTGCAATGATACACCCTTAGATTCTCCATATTTTCAACTCAAAAATAAATTCTCCATATTTTCACTCGTGTAATGTTTTTCCTCGAGATTCTTCGTCATTTTCATTCATATCATCGATATTGCATTGTACATACTCCAATGCCATGAATATCCCATTTTGCCTAGAACCAGTACATTTCGGTTGGCCCAACAGCTACCACACAAACACAAAATGAAATAGAAGGAAAAAGGAAAGCAAACCTTGATCTTGAACTTGCTTTTGGGCACATCGTCTGTGCAATCGGAGCGGATCTCGTAGTACGAATCCGCGGGCGTCCCGCTGCTGATCCCCCACTTGATCATTTTCCAAGTAAATCAAGAATGTAGCAGCAGCCGGAACCCAATCAAGAAGCCAAGAAAGGCGGCAGCGCCTCTGAGGGAAGGGGGGAGGAACCGGGCTCTATTTGACCTCACGAATCAAAAAAATGGCAAAAGCAAACCAGGAAGAGAAAATGGGATCAAGTGCAATGGAACTGATCCCCCCTTGGACCTTCTCCTCCTGAAAGGAAGGGTGCGAGTGGAATCGCAGGAGGAGGGGAGGTTAAGGGGGGACGAGGTCAGGCAAAATCGGGAAGGCCTAGTGGGGTTAAATTAGAGAGGACAGGGGCGAGGGGCGTGGAAGGACGAGGACGACCGGTTCCAAGCCGCTGCCGGGCACGAGCTTGCCGGCTTCTACGGGCATCTTTGCCCATCTTGGTGCTAGTTTTCATGGTCGGAAATGGAGAGCGACGCTTGCTCTTCAGCGAAGAAGACTTCGCCTTGTCCTTTTCCTTTTTTGGAGAAAAGGAAGACTTGGTTCCAGTTTTGGAAAATTACTCAATTTCATGATTAATTCCAAATACTCCCTCCATCTACTCATATTTCGAAACGACGATTTGGGTCTCCGAAAAAATTAATCTGGCCCCTGCGTCCCCTCCAGGCAACTCGAGCGGCGGCCGCGCATCACCCAAAATCTGTTGTTCTTCACGCTGCCTCTCCTCTCCATCGCCGGCTGGCCACGCGGGGGCAAAGCTCCATGCGTTGCATGGCGGCGGCAGGGTGTTCCCTTCTTCCCCGTCCTCTCCTCCCCATGTCGGTCTACATTGCTTCGTGCCGCCGCCGCCGCCGGCAGTTGCTCTGCCCTCACGAGTGGATAGCTCCGGGCGATGGGCCACTCGGCCAGGAGAGACTGCAGCAGCAGGACGTGGCTAAGAGCATTTCCAGCCGCGCCCCCAACAGGTCTTTCTCAGACGTTTTTACCGCGCCGGCGCCAAAAAAACGGTTCAGTCGCATCTTCAGAAACTTGTTTTTTGCCGGCTCGGGGCGAAACTGGTGCCGGCGGACCCAGTCCGAACCCGGCTTCCTGGGGCGCCTAGGGTGCCGGCACAAGCGAAAAGGGCGCGTGGGTCCGCCCTGTCAGCGAGACGAGCGCCTCTTCCCGCCGTTTCTTCCCGCGTTTTCCCCACTTCCCTCCCGTACTCTTCCTTCCTCCCGCCAATCTCCCTACCGCTCGCCTTCCTCCCAGTCGGCCGCCATGCCACCGAAGAAGTACGTCGCCCCCCGCGCGGCGGCAACAGCGACCGCCTCCGTCGCCCAGCCGAAGCCGAGGGCGCCGCCGATCAAGCCACCGGGCATGTCAAACACCGAGTGGAGGGCGAAAGTTCAGCGGCGGGAGGCTGTCACCGCCGACCGACGGAATAGGGCCATCGCCAAGAAGGCCCACGACAACGCGGCGCGCGCGGCTGCGGCTGCCTCGGCGGACCAAACCGAGGCCGAGGCGACTCGCGCGGGGATGATGAATCCACTCGGAAGCCACGCCCAGTACGCGCCCTGGGGCCAGCAAGGCGTCGGCTCTCCGCAGCCATGGGGATCGCCCTCGCCGGGCTACGCCGACGGGGACGCGCACGGTGAGTTCAACCCAAACGTCACCTTCCCCATGGATACCCGGCCCAGCGCACGGCCTCTCCCGCCTTGGCCGGCGTGCAGTACCCTCCATACAACTACTCGCCGCCCGCCTACGCTTCCTCCCCGACGCCCCCACTACGCCGTGGCCCGCTGCCCTTCTCGCACCTCGGCGACACCGACGAGACCGAGGCCGACATGGACGACATCATCGCAGCAGGTTCGGCCGCGGCCGCCGCATCTCCCGGGTTCGTCACCCAGGACGAGGTGGTCGATCTTAGTGGCAGCATGGACGGCGAGCTCCGCTACGTCTACGGCGAGGACGAGCAGGAGGAGCAGGAGGAGGAGGACGACGACGAGGAGGAGGAGGAGCCGACGCCTGCGACGGCGAGGGGGCGCAAGAAGAAGAAGCAGGCGGCCAGGACAGGCGAGCCGCGCATCAAGTGGGCGTCCAAGGAGGAGGAATGCCTCGTCGAAGCATGGAAAGTCGTCTGCCTCGACCCGACGACCGACACGAACCAGAGCATCGACACGTAATAGGACCGCATCAAGGCCGAGTTCGACGAGCGCAAGCTCGTCGACCCCAACTTCAAAGGTATCTACATGCAGTGCGGCTCCAAGGCGATGGCGAACCATTGGGGGCGTGCAACAAATGGCATGGGATCGTCGAGGAGGTCGCGGCTCGCCCGGAGAGCGGCGCCAGCGTAGAGGATCAGGTATGCCACGCCGGCCTCCCGCCTCTCTTCGCCGTGTACGCGCGCCAACTGTTTCTTCCTCCGCGCAGTTGCTGCGCATGTTCGCCCTGTACCGACAGAGCAACAGCGACGCCGAATTCAAGTACCTCCACGTCTACAAGCGCATTGACAAGTGCGAGAAGTGGGCGGAAGTCCGGCGCACCCTCGACAAGGCCAAGGAGACCTACAAGACGGACGCGCCGACTCCTGGCGCATCGAAAGGGCGGCTGGATGGCAACAAAGTTGCCAAGAAGGGGAAATATGCCGACGCGGCCACCGCTCGAGTGCAGGAGTCCATCGAGCACTACCTCGCCGACGCGCAGGCTCGTGCCATCCTTCGTGAAGAGAAGACCGAGGCATGGTGGTCGGCGTTGATGTCGAGCAGCGCCGTCAAGCTTGACCTGCTCCAGACGAACGTCGCCGCGAAGAAGAGAAACACCGACCTGGCTTTCTTGCTGGGCGGGGCGGACATACTCCAGAGCACCCACGAGGTGGTCAAGGCGTGGTACTTGGCGGAGCGCGGCCTCATCCTGAACCAGCTTTCCTCGACAAGGCCGCCGACGCCGACGCACACGCCGACGCCGACGCACATGCCGCCGCCGCCAAGCCCGCGTGACGAGCCTCCAAGACGCCCTGCACCACCGAAGCCGCGCCGACACCGCCCAGCGCAGAGGCTGCTCCGACACCGCCAAGCTCGCGCACGCCAACTCCGCTGACGCCTGGGGCAGAACCCGCCGAGTGATGCGCACGTGAACTTCTACCGCTCTATTTTTTGTACGCCGAACTGTGGCTTGTGATCGCCCGACTTGTGGCATCTTTTGTGAGCGGGAACGACCAAGTTCGAATTTTTCGCGTCCCGGGGGCGTGACTGGGAGCTAGGTCGCCCCCAGGGGCCGAACTAGCGCCGGTTCGCCCCAAGACCGCCCTTTTTTAGCGCCCTGGGGGGCCGAACGGTTGGAGATGCTCTAAGGCCAACTCCACCGCGCGACCCCATCCTGTCTGTCCCCATATGTTTGGGGTAAAACGGACAAATCAGACGGCCCAGCGCGCGGACACAAACGGACTTTTGTCCGTTTTGTGTCCGCTTTTGACCCATCCCCAGCCCAAACTTGGTTTGGTTTTGGGGTCAAAGCGGACAGAATGCGGACGTTTTCCTCGCTCGTGCGTCTGGCTGCGTCCGCGCATGTAGATGATGGCCCCATCTGTCATCGAAACAAAAAGGGACCCACCACCCACCCACCTGTCCGCGCAAGCAAGGGTGGGCAGGACGCGGTGGCGCGGCGGGTGGCGGTGAGCGGCAAGTACGGCGGGGCGGGCAAGCCGCGGAGAGCTCGACTGCAGCAACAGCAGCACGGAGCAGGGGCCGGTGCGGCTGCGAGTGTGGCGAGCGGGCGTGGCAAGGTCGCGCAGGCGGGCGAGGCGCGGCGCGGACCGACGGCGAGCAGAACGAGCGGGCGTGGCGAGGTCGCGGGGGCGGGCGCGCGCGTCGCGCGGCAGAGCGAGCGGGCATAGCGACGTCGCAGCGACGAGTGAGGCGTGACGGCCAGGCGAGGCACGGCGACGAGAGCATGCGACGCGTGCCTGCGGGCTAGCTAGCTAGCTTCAGGCATACGAGCATGCGTGCATGCCGGCGAGCTTGCTAGCTAGCGAGCCGCCGCGGCCGTGTGCGCATTCCGCGTGCGGGCTAAGCTAGCGAGCCGCTACGCGTGCGGGCTAGCTAGCCAGCCGCTGCCGCCGTGGGCGCGTGCCGCACGGCGAGCGGCGGGCGACACGGCAAGCGGCGGGCGACACGGCGAACGGCAAGCGCGACGGGCGGTCGAGCTGCGACGCATGAGCGGTTTGTCGTTGACGGGCGAGCACGGCACGTGGGCTGCCGCGGTCGGCCTGGCGAGCGGCGGCCGCTTGGGAGGGCGGCGTCGGCTGTCTTTTATGTGTTTGTTGAAATGACCGAGCCGGACAATATTTGGGATGGGTGTGCTGCGGTGGGCGCTCGGCCGACGCAAATCCAAATCCGGGCGGACACGACCTCATTGGCACCCTCAAACGGACAAAATCCGGACAAAGTGGACGTTCGTTTGGGGTCGTGCGGTGGAGTTGGCCTAACCGCGGTCCGGCAACCGATCCAACCGACATGGTCTAGCAGTCGTCCAGATCAGGGTCCAACCAGGCCTGCGGAGGAGGAGGTGACAGGTGGTAGCGATGGTGTGTGTTGATAATGGAGGTTTTGACAAATCTGATGTCAGGCAACAGTAGCTTTGGCATCGTCCATGATCGACCCAGCGTGGTTGCCTTGACTTAGATTTGATGGTGCTTCAAACCTAGTCGGCAGGGAGGTCGTAGACTGTGCTATAGTGACTTCCTACAGTTTTTTGCACGGTGAACTAGAGGAGGAGGTTTACATCTGATCCTTAGTGAGGTAAATGGCACTCTGACTGTCACAAAACAAATTAATGCAAGAATTATCTCCACAAAGCTCATCATATAAACCTTTCAGCCAAACTGACTCTTTACATGCTTCTGCAATAGCCATATATTCTACTTCAGTGGTAGATTGGGCAACTACTGGCTGCAACATTACCCTCCAACTCACGGCACAACCATCAACTATGAACACATAACCTATAAGGGACCTCCTCTTGTCCAAATCGCTGGAAGAAAAATCCGAATCCACATAGCCAGCTAGTCCCT